TGATTTTCTATCCAAACTATTTTTAGCAACTTCCACCTACAGAAACGTTGAAAAGGATTAGAATTACATTAGATAGAATAAAGTGGACAACTATTCACTTTTTTAAAGAAATATTGTTTATTCAAAAATGGGTTTGTAGCTTACAGTTTTAATTACTGCTTTTTTTATAAATACTTATGTATACATATGTTTATATAAATGCAATCTTTACATTTTGTAAAAAACACTGATCACAAGTCTCGATTATTGTGTATATAAAGTATAGCTATTATTTTTTTCAAATTAGGAATATAAATGATTGTTATTGCATAAAAAAAACTCAAATTATAGAAAAAATATTTTATAAGTGCTTGTCATGTTAGAAAAATTTAGAAATGAAAGTGTTAGTTTAGGAAATGTTAGGATTATCAATATTTCGAGTTTAGTTTCAATACATCAAACACAATCTTGATTAACGCATGTAAATACAATGTAACAAATACTTTTCCATGGCACAATGTTGTACTGAGAATAGATCGACTGGTTATTCAAAGAACAAAATATTTCCAGAAATTTGTTAATGGTATGATCTGTAAGAAATGGAGGTACCCACCTGAATGGGTGACCCCCATTGCAACTTAGAATCAGCAGTACGATGCTGACTGTACCACAATTCTGCTGTTTGTTTTAGATGCATGTTTAATGTTGTCAATAGTTTTTCAAATGACTCAGATGTTTCTGTATCTTTGCACAATTTAAATAACGTTCGATCCTGTACTAAAGGTCGTTCAGGTTCTGGTAAAGGCACATCATTTTCGCTGACACACGAATCGAGTGGGTTAATCTGCCATCGTTCCAATTTTTGGCTATTGTTCAAATGTGTGTCTATCTTTATTTCTGCATCATTTGTACTATGAGAATCTTGTAAATTGTTCTTTCCTTTAAAAGAAATGTATTTGTTCAAGTTGCAAGAATAATTATCTCTCATATTTAGATTATCATGTAATCTATCAAATATGTCAGCATTGTCTAAGATTTTGTTTCTATAGAGATAATTTTTAGAGTCAGCAATTACAGGTGCAAGTTCAGGACTATCGTGTTTACAAGGCGATAGTTGATCATGTATTGGTGAGGTGTGGTTAGATTTATGTGGATGTATCAAATTAGGTGTATCATTGTCTTCTTCAATTTCCAAATGTTGTGCTAAATTTGACTTGGGCATCAGTTCTGCTGTACACTCGTTAGAAGTATGTAATAATTCCTAAAAATGGTAACTATTATATAACATTTATAATAAAAGATATCTAATATTTGGATATGTAAATGAATTAATTGTCTCAATTATTAGTACATAAAGTTTATTAACCTTTTGTGCATTTTTCTCATCTTTGCCTACATTTGCCATATCCTTGGATTCATTAATAAAACTCAAGATTTGTTTCATTTCCTTGTATGTATACCACGATTCATACATTTTCATGTCTATAATAGAGACCATGTTTTAACATAATTAGATCCTTATAAATAAATAAATTATATAAATATATTAAATATATTATAAATAAATTCTTATATAAAATAAACTTTAAATTCATTTGAAGATCTAAAACACCTTTTATGAATGCATTTTTGAAAATTTCTATAATATTACAAAGTATATCATCAAAGAATTTCAAGGTTAATTATATTAAGATAATATTTAATTACCAAGAAGTTCTCGTTTCATTTCCTCCTCTTCTTTTTCCTTAGTTGTCAACAATTCGGGTTTATCTCGGTTCATATTGTTTGACATATTTCTGTTTCAGTTTCGTTAGTTCGGGAAGTAAATGTCAATAAATCGTTTTGTACGCAATAAAGTATATTTTAAGTTTAAAGTTTATATATATTTGCGAATTTAAATTTTTCCACATTACTGCTTAATTTCACCCTTAAAAGATATATATACGCACTGACAAATCAAGAGATAAATTTACCGAGAGACGTGTATCATACTCAAATCACGATGTGAAACAGTTAAAATCAACATTGCATGTCATCATTGTACATTGTACATACGTACATATCTGCGTTTCAGACCCTTCGTTCAGAAAGGAATGTGTATAGAGATGTTGAGAAGACTATGTAAATTATGGTTGAATATCAATTCCCATTATTTCAAATAATGTAATCAAATCCTTTTATACATTATTGTGCACTGGTAATGAATAGTTGCGACATTTATAATAAATATCTAAATTTTTGTACATAAAAGTATTTACTTTACAGCGCATACAGCGTCGCTTTTAGCGACCTCTCTGATTCCGACTACGGCTTACGCAGTGGTAGGTTCACTCCTGCGGTAGTGATGGGCAATGCAGTATCGATATTTCAAATATCGATACTTTTCAAGTCAAATATCGATATTTAATATTACGATATATTTAAGTATCGATTATCGATAAGTATCGAAATGGAACACGCATTGTAGTTATCAAGAGTTGAAAAGGTGTAGGTTCGGACAAAAAGAGCTTCCGCGAGGCTCGGAAATCCTTTTATTGTTAGTCTAGACACATTGTTCCCCGTAACCATTATTTCATGACACTCTGGATAGTATACAAATTGAAAAAACTGCATATTACATGTTTATTTCATGAAAAAAATTATTTCGATCATTGCATGCCAATTGAACTGATCTTCAGTGTATTCGTATAAATATATCCTCACAAAATTGTGTAAAAACAAAAACAGTTAACAATTATCCACTTTATTATTCGAATAATTGTGCAGTATCTCGTCGAATAATTTGTTCGAATAAATAGATGGAACAGTTTGCTTAAATAAGTAAATGTGATAATTAATAAGCATTATCCGAATAAAATATTAGACGGAAGAAAATTCATTCGGTCAATTATATTATTGAAATATTTATTTGAAACAATTCGAATAATGTCGATTTCTGCCTCGGACTCCGTTGTTGCTAGGTTCAAACTCCAGAATCACGGGTAGCGAAATTCGTCTTTTCCGATCGAGCCGTAGAAGCAACAATAACCTTCTGTGTTTAATAATAGCAGCCCTTTTCAGAGCTCCAAATTCACTTAACACATTGACTGTCGCGTCACCCGTATTCGGGTGACAGCAAAAGTTCTCATCAGGCCACGTCACCCGTAATTCGGGTGACGCTGATTTGACTACTTACAAAGGATTTCCGAAAATATTTCGACGAATATTCTACAGGAGGTAATGAAACTATTGAATTCTTATAAAAATGGTTTATTAAAAAAACTATTCGCAGTGTATAACATTAAAACATTCTCTGCAAAGTTGAAGTTGATCAGGACAGCTTGGACAAAAAGTTGTTTGTTTTTTCAGATATGCTCGTGCCTCTGATCGGTCCATTTCGTATCTTTTATTTGAACTGTAGCTTCCTCAGTATCATCAACATTTCTTTCTTCTTCCATGACCAATTCTCGTAAAATCTCGTCAATACTATCTTCATAACATTCATTATCATTAAGATTATATTTATCAGTATCCAAATCAGAATCTGACGATGTAATTTTATTTATGCTTCTCCTTCCGGGCAATCCGATCTCTTTTCATTATTGAAAAAAAATAAGGGCAGAGATTTTAAGTTATACCATTCGGTACTCGGCAAAGATTCCAACTGTTCATGCAGGAACAGAAACAGATGTTTCTTCCTATAGCGGCACGGGTGGCCTGTAGGAGATTTTGTTGTAAATACGCGTGGCAGTCAACGTGTTAAACTGGAAAGTTCGTCCTTATTCACTACAAAAGTGAGATCTGATTGACACATGACGATGCCCGAATAAAATACAATTTTCTATGTAACTCAAACCCACAAACAATACAGCAATTTCCTTATATTCCTAATTTCGTTGTAGGTTGCGGATCAAAATTTCAATTGAACGTTTTGGAATTGTTTCATATAGTTTTTGAATCATTTTTGCCAGTAAATTGTCTCAATATTCAATAATTGTTGACGCCAATTCTCTAAAGCTTTAAGTTTGAGAATTTTTTATAGATAATTAAATTAAATATGTATGTAGTCTTTTTGAGAGAACATGAATGCAAGTTTTAGCTGCGTTTATCGAATTTTTAAAAGTAAAAATCGTATAAAATTGCAAAATTATTTGTTGCTTTTGAAACTTCTTGTAGAGTAGAACACTGATTACTGGCCGTCACAAGTACTGGAATGTCTGAATTAAAAAAATTTTGTAGATTCATAAAGTAGAAACTATTATCTAAAATGTAGCGTACGGGTTTTCGAAAATCACCATTCGAAATCACTGTTTGAAATGGTGACATAGTAAATCTTGACACAGTAAATTAAATCGCCATCTTTAAATATTATTTTGGAGGGGATTTCAATTTAGAATAACTTCATGTAATTACTTTATTTTGTTTATTATAAAATCAATAATTTCAAAACTATGTGATAAAGCGCTATGTAGAAAATAAAATACAAATGTTAATGTTAAGTAAAATATATTTAATACGATTTGAGTTTTGATTTTGTCTGTATTAAAGTTCACTAGAATTTCAAGCAACAAATTGGTGTCAGAAGTGGAATTGCAAAATAAATTCCAAGATCAATTGCAACATTAGTTGCAAGATACATTCCTCAGCAACAAGCACTTCTTCTCCGTCCTAGGTTTTTGATACAGGTTTTCCCAGGATTAAAGGGTGAATACCGGAGCAAGGAGGTTCCAGCGACCCCATGGTAAAGTCAATTTTACCGCTCCCCCTGAAATCATGAGTGCGAAGATTTTATCAGTGAGGCGATCTGGACAGCACTATAATCATCGAGGCGTTCCTAAGGTCATTACTATTATCGATGCGTTCCTGAGGTCATCATCATCATCGAGACGTTTTCTATTACTATTACATGAATGTTAGTAATATTATTCACTTAGTTAGTTAACCGAATTAATGTTGAGTTGAGTTAGGAATTTAAGTTACTACGTTAAAAGTACATAAAGTTTTAAAATGTTGCATACCGATTTGTTAAAGAAACTAAAAAAAGAACGTAAGATGAAACTGGTGATAAAGGTTTTGAAGTAGAAAACATAACAGCTATATTGGAAATAAGCTCATCTGAAAGTTATTCATCACAACAGTTTTCTATAGATAAGGAGTTGCAACAGATAATATAGATGGAGATTTGTCTGTATCAAAATCTTTACCTGTTCGAACTCCATTTTCTTTGTTGAATCTTCCACCCACATCATTTGCAGCTTCTCTTTCAAATTGTAATTTATCATTCACTGAGCCTGAAAATGCATATCTATCATTAAAATTAGCCACTGAATTGGTGCCGAGATTTCGAGGANGTTAGCCATTGAATTGATACCGAGATTTGATGAAAAATCAAGTTCTTTATTTAAGTTTATTAAACAATGTAGGCTTGTTAACTCTAAAGTAAAATCTCCAGATAGAATAAATTTATTAACTTTAATAAAGAATAAAATAGAAGCATATGCATTGCAATAGAAAATAGACAAAAACCAAATAGTTTGAAGGAATTAATTAATTTATTAAAGGCAGTTTTAGCTAGAACATATGATCTCGATCACATATATAATGAATTAACGATAATTAAACAAACAGATAAGGTAAGTGTAGAAATCTATCATCAACGGTTATGTGAAATACTAAATAGGGGTTTAGATACAGCTAAAGAAAAGTACCATTGTGAAGAATTACCAGGAGTAATATCCTTATTAAAACGGACAGTAATAACTAGATTTCATAGAGGCTTAAAAGATGCTTATAAAAGTATGTTAATTTCAGAGGAGAAAATGAATAATTTAGAAAAAGCAATCAAATTAGAAATACGTAACGATACTAGAGTTCTTACAATGAATTCTCACAAGCGGTGTTATGAATGTGGCCAGGATAATCATTTCCATAGAGAATTCCCAGAATTTCAATGTAATCGGGATAGATTTTGATAATTAGATGTATAATTTTTGTAAAAAAATTAGGTCATAGTTAAAGTCGATGTTTTGGGCGGAAAATTGATAAAAGGAAGTCTAAAAATATCTTCAACAGTTCCTATTCTCAAAAACGAACAGAAAAATATTCTCACACAAAATTCCGTACAAGAGTGCAGTGCAGAGTCATCCTCAAATTACAAGCGCCAATTTCTCGGGTGTAATATTAACTAATATTAACTTATTAGCTAATATTAACATTTGTATTTTGTTTCTACATAGCGCTTTATCACATAGTTTTGAATATTATTGATTTTATAATAAATAAAATAAAGTAATTAAATGAAGTTATTGTAATTTGAAATTCCCTCCAAAATAATATTTAAAGATGGCGGTTTAATTTACTATGATTACTACGAACAAGACGAGAGCCGTAACAATATCACTACCGACAGAGTTACTGTTAGGCTTGTGACACATTTACGTGTTACGTTCGGGTCGTGCTAGCAGCATACTCGATTGAGAGGAGCCGTCGGAAATTAAATCACATGCTTCACGCTCAGCTCGAGCAGGAGATCTTGAAATAGATAAATTGAAAGATAAAACTAATAGATTAATTTTATTAGTTAAAATTTTTAATTTGGAACATTTAAACGATTTAGGAAAAGGGCATGTACTTAACATTATAAACGAATTTCTTTATTAATTTTATTTACCAACTAATCAAATAGGAAGTACAGATGTAATTCGTCACAAAATTCAAATTACAATAATGCCTCATCATAGTAAGCTAAGGCGGAGGCAACCGGCTTAGAATTATGAAGCAAGTAAAGGAACAGCTTCTCCTCTGATTGGTTGACGCTTCATAGCTAAACAGTGCTGCCCTCACAATTTTAGATAAACGCTCAACATTAAAGGTTCATAGTAACTAAAATATTTATTCAATTTCATTAATTTCTTCATTTCTGAGGTCCACAGACCTTTGTAAAATAATAAAAATTGAACAATTATCAATCTGAAAAAGTTGATTTTTTCGTAGATTGTCACCACTATGCGACGTGCTGCAACACCGATGTCTTTATATTATAATAACTTGAAAATATGTATAGGGATGGTCATGATTCTTATACAGTTTTGTAGAAAGAAACGTGCTGAAAACATTCAGTCTTATTTGAATGCGGAACTCTTTGGGACTTAAAAGGTATACTTTGTCAGTTGTAAAGAATTTTATAAATTTTATTCGTATCATTAAGCCTTATTTATATTAAATATATTCGTTTATACATCGCAACAAAGACAAGCAATTTTTATCAGCGAAAATAGGAACATCAAAATGTTTAAGTTTGAGAGCACGTACGCTGGAGACCTACGACCGAGAATTTACGATGCTGATCGACACCGAAGCCACTAGACACTAAAGTCACTACTATTTCCAGCAAGACATAGTAGACTGGATACGATAGCAAGGAGCACCCAGTCGGCAAAGAGCGCGAGGGTCGCCGATGGCATCTCTGTTTACCTGAAGCAGAGATTGACTTGACATTTCGGGTTTGCAAACAAACCCTCCGCCTGACGTGTCCTGTCCTACCGACCTTGTGCCAAAAAGTCCTCGGCATTAGCCTTCAGTTAGGCACCTATGAATGGGCTATCCAAGCGGGAAAGGAGGTCACCGCCGTAGATCAATTATTGGGACTAACCGAATGCTCGATCGGATAGGTGCAGTGTTTAAAACAGATCCTGTAAGAAGAACTTCCCCGATTCACTGCCGTCCGTCGAACTACCCATATGGCCGAACACCGAATACGCGTAGGCGACGCGGAACCGATGAAGCAGCGTTATACGCCCCGCAACTCGGCTACTCAGGCCATCATTAATAAAAAATTAGATAAAATGCTACAAGGTCATCGAGCCTTCTGCCAGCCCCTAGAACTATCCGGCGTATCGATTTCCGGCGGGTGAATGATGTGACCATAAAGGACGCATATCCGTTACCACAGATCCATACCATCTTAGAGAAACTACGTGGAGCCAGATACCTAATCAACGTATACTGGCAGGTACCGCTGGAACCGAGTAGTCGGCTGATCACAGCCTTCACGGTTTCGGAACTTTACTCAGTGATCGGCCTTCGTCTTGAACTTCGCGTCTTCGCCTACCATGATAACATCATCGTACTCGACGCCGCCTTCGAAGAACACCTAAACAATCTCCGAGAAGTCTTGCAGCGATTCCGAGAGACTAATCTCCGGATTAAGCGGGACAAATGACAATTTTGCCAGGCAGAGCTCCGCTACCTGGGATACCTCGTGACCAGCCGATAGGTATGCACGGACCCAAACAAAGTCGAGGCCATCCGGAGCATCCCGCCACCAAGAAGCCTAAAAGAGCTACGCCGGTTCTTGGGAATGGTATTCATCCGGCATTTTGCTGACATCGCAGAACTTCTGCACCGCTTACTGCAGAAGCGACGAGGAAGGGCATGGAACAATCCTGAGGTCTTCGAGCACCTCCGCACGCAGTTGGCCACTGTCCTGGTTCTGGCATGCCCAGCCATCGCCTACACCAATCGAACGGAACGCAGTTATTTCGTTACCGAACAAGAATACCTGGCCGTGGTGTGGAGAATTAGGAAGTGCGCCCATACCGCGAAAGATACCGGTTTAACATGCTCATTGACCACCAGGCTCTCTGCTGACTGCAGATGATGGAAAATTAGTCCGGGAGGCTCCAACAATATGACTTCCAGATCCTCTACCACAGCGGGGAAAACAATCTGATGACCGATGAGCTATCCCACCAACCTGAAATGGCCGATCTTCTCGAAATGCTCAAACTCTCCTTGTATGAAACCATCCGCTATTCTGTTCAGGACGCGCTCAACGGCCATCCGAAACGAGAGTGGGAGCAATGCATTCTGCCGAAGGAAAGACCCGAGATCTTCTGATGGATGCATAGCAATCATACCGCGAGACAAAAACATACATGATAGGCAAGACAAAAACAATTGCGAGGCTCAGCTAGTGAGATTACTGACCAAAAATACGCCGCGACGCCGCTCAGTACGTCCTACCCTGCGCAAGTTGCCTGCAATACAAGGCCCTGTAACGCGCACCTGCCGAAGAGATGTTTTCCACTCCCGCGAGTATGCCGTGAAGCGTGATTACCGCTGACCTAATCGATACACTGTCTAGAACGAGTCAGGGATACACAACCCAAGGGTAAATTTAGCAAGTGGGCCGAGGCTCACCCTTTGCGCAAAGCTACCGCACAATTTGTTACTAGGGTGCTCGAAGAATTGGCCATCTTCCGTCACGGGAGCCATCACGGCCATCACGGACAATGGTAGGCAGTTCCAGAGCCGGGAATTCGGGACTTCCCTACGGAAATACGGAATCGAGCATTGGAAGGCACCCCCACCTTAGTGTAATCCGGTGGAGCGGGCCAAATGAGTCATAAGAACTGCTCTGGCACAGTTGACTGTGAACGGTTACTGCACTTGGGACTGCTAGGTAATGGCCTGCCCGATTTACAGACGCGAGTTAGCCACCTGACGGACTGGCCGGCCAGAAATGCAGACCACGCGAGAGAACGCAACGTCCCAGATTTATCAAGACCATAACAAGGCGATTGCCCGACTGATGGACGCATATCGGGTCGCCATGCCAGAGCAATCCCGCGCCACCAAGTCCCAAGCAGAAATGTTACAACTCCCGCCTCCGTAAGTAGACTCCCTAGATCGATGACCTGGCAATGCGTCGGTAATGCCAAATTGGGCCTAAAATTCTCTGCACCACAGAGTCCGCGCGTTCCTGGGACCAACGGTGGTGACTGTACATATTTTCCATATTTTTCATGTTACATTTCTATACCATTACAAGGTATTGAAAATTCATCACGTAGAGACAGAGCAGATAATAATTATACCTATTTTCATACTAACACAGCATTTGTTTCTAGATTAAAAGGTGTTCATCAGCTTATGCAAGTTGTAGAAAAAGCAGTAAAGTTTGTTTGCTATGAAATAGAAGGAAAAGTCTTCTTTATTGAGCACTTTGATGTTGATAAAGTTAATGACTTACCATCGAATGAAGGTAAACAAGTTCTAACAAAAGAAATTAAAACAGAACGTCAACTTCTAGCAGAGCAAAATAAGGAGCTTGGTTTTATAAAAGTCAATGGTCAAGAAGTATCCAGAGTGCAGTTATATGATTTTAGGACTAAAATTAATGTGGAGGGTAGTGTACTGCTACTCATAAATGCTGATATGAATTTAAGTTGCTAAGCATTCCAAGATCACTTAGATCAGGGGTCGAAATTAACCAGCTTGCAACATGAGGATCGTGTGGGGTTCGCCTTCTGACTTCCGCCGCGCATCTAGCTCGCCGTGAAAAGCGATAAAATTAGAATCTGCTCAAGTAATCCAAGAGTGGAAAATCAACTACACACAAAGATCATTATGACGTCAGACTACTTCTTCCTTGAATTATGCAATTTTAGCTTGTGGAAGACCAGTCTGTAAATATGTTATCTTTAAGTAGGTTTAACTTCAATTTCCCTTTCTTTCTTATCTTTTTCATGTCAAAGTTATTTCATCTATAGTATTTTCTGTGTACCGCAAAAGACACCACCTTTCTACGATGCTCACTCTGTTTTTTTGTAAATTTAGGCAACTTAATAAAGACAAATTGAAGATCTTTTAAGTACATAGTGTCCATTGGTTTTTATATCTCGTATATTCTGAGTGGAAATATACTCAACCTCTGTAGGAAATAGCAATAAAGAACACTTTCTTAAGATCAGTATAATTGCCAGATTGTCTTGAGCAAGCTTTAACAGCATAAAGTTGAGCACGTTTTCAAAGCCCTTGTCCCTAGTGAGCTGCATCCAACTGCATCTCCGCAAATCCGCAATACAGTCACCCAATCCCAATTCAGGAGCTTTTTCTTCTCCATATCGACAATAACCTTTTTATCCCCATTATACTGCGCATCCATTTTCACGCAGTTGTTTTAGAAAGAGAACGAGAAATCTGATCGAGAGAGACAGAACGAAACTAGTGGGCTTTATGTAGAGTATCCACACGGACGAGAAGCCGTCTCACTTTTATTGTGCTTGCAGTCTCACCTTTTTTGCGCATTCGTACGCCTAGCGCTCTATCTGAAACACACGGCGCAATATTCGACTTGTACTTCTCGCCTCGTGGATTCTTGACCACAATGAATTTGCGAACGCTGCTCAATGCACATTGAGATATATTTCGAATGTATGTGTTTATCGGAAATGTTTCGACAAGTTGAGTACGATCAAGCTGTGCTAATTATTGCATTACCTTGAATGTTAGCGCGAGGGAATGAGTGAATGTTGTAAGTGAATAGTGTAAACTTCATATCTTTTGCAAATTCGTTCAGTTCTTATTAAATATGAAATACTTATTTAATAAATGTGATATCTTCATTTATAACTTTGATTATTAGATATGTTTGTTTATAATTGTATATTAAAGTTCATGAAACTCTAAAGTAAATACTTAAATTATATTAATTTCTTGTAGAAAAGATAAGACACAATTTATTTTTGTTCATATACAAAGTAATATTAATTTTAGGAAAGATAAAAGTAAATGTAATGTTAATACTAAGATTGAGTTATAAAATGTGAAATAAAATTTTACGAATATTTTCGACATAAATACATTATTAACCCTGAACTGCCGAGATGAAGTATCAGAGACTTCAGGAAATTACTAATTTAAGTACAATCTAAATTGATTTGAATAATGGATTTAAAAAAAAAAAGTAATCATTTTTCTGTTGTAAAAAGAAATTCAGATATGTAAAAATCCACTTCGCCAGTCTAGGGTTGAATATTAACACAACTTCTTAACAATGTTCTTCGTCACTTCCTATCTACATTGTTATAAGAAATGAATGTACCTAGAAACATGAAATTTATTAAGTCCATCTGAGACTTTACACTGTAGCCACTTATGAAAATCATTTACAAAGAATTTTATATATTGTATGTTTTATATATGTATTTTTGTATAATGCAGATGGCTTTGTTCTATGTTGGGAAAATGCAACAGAGACAAACAATATGCCCGTAATTTATGGTGTATCTTGAACAATAACTGAGCAGTAAGTTTTCATCTTTAGAATTCCAATCCAATTGTCATAATAATAAGAAAGTATATTATAATGATAACATAATTCATGACTGGATGACAACAAAAGTAGCCAAATACTCTGCATGATAATATAATGTGAAAAGTATAAAAATCATTTTACGATGTGATGTCATATGGTGTTACACTGTTCAACAAATTGAACTTTTTTCTGCCTTCTAATAATCACATTCTTGTAGAACACAACTTCCCAAACACGAATCCGAAAACCAAATTGCTGTATGACCCCCAATTTTCAAAAAACACGAATTTTTACAAAAGCGTGCAATTTTGAACAAAAACGAAATATTGCACAAAAAATAAGAACGTTAGAAAGGTCATATTGATCTAAAGGATAGAGGAAATATTCCTGCATGTGTCAATGTCAATATTTACAATACTTTAGACTTCTAAATAATGTTTAACGGCTGCCAAAGTTTTAAAAAATGCCATAAACTGACTACGACATTTGATTCATTTCATACATTTCTGAAGATGTAACTATGGAGAAGAAGTGTCGAAACGATTTTAAATTCGTACAGGTCGAGAATATATTTGTCGACCATGCGTACCCGGCGTTTTGCTGCCATGTGATCTGTTGTTTACATGTCTGGATTCGGCAATACTGCAGCTACGTGTGATCAACGCCGATATAGACGTCCAATGAGGCACTGTTTGAGTAACGTTTGATTTTATTTCTAACTTTTAACTGTTCTATCTTTTGTTTTTTAAATTCCTGTGAACATTTCTGCTAATGAAGCTTGAATAAAAATATTATTAAAGAAAAAATGCTGTAAGGTAGCTTAAAAAAATAGAACAGTTAAAAGTTAAAAAAAAAATTCGGCGTTGATCACGGATAGATGCGGCACTGCTGAGTCGAAATAAGCGAACAAATCACGCGGCGGCAAAAGGCTGGGCACGCGTGATCGACATACATTTTTTCGACCTGTACGAATTTAAAACGCGTATATATTTGCACTTCTTCTTTTTAGTTACTTCTTCAGAAATTATTACAGAATGAAATGCCGTGGTCAGTTTTTGTACAAGGTAAAGAAATTTTCGTAAATATGTAAAAATATTGCGTAGAAAATACGTACTTCGGTATTTTTTTAAACTTTGACAGTCATTTAACATTATTTAGAAGCGATATTGTAAATATCATTACTGACATATTCAACAACATTTCCTCTATCCTTTAGGCCAATATGACCTTTCTAACGCTTTTAGCTTCCGTGCAATACTTCGTTTTTGTTCAAAATCACACGATTTTACAAAAAGTCGTATTTTTTTAATACTGCGTGTGTTACAGCAATTCGGTTTTCACATTCGTATTTGAGATGTGACGCTCTGCAAGAATTACCCAATGGTTATTAGAAAGCAAAGTGTGTGTTGGACAGTGTTATTGGATTCAGCTACTTTCTATATCTGTGACATAGTCAGTAAGTACAGTTCAGATGACATGTACAACTTAATTAAAATACTTGTAGACATTAGGTTCGATATATATAAAAAGTGTAAACAACTTTTCCACATGTTATTATGAAATAAAGTATTTTGTTGTATGAGGAAAAATAAAAAATAATTCACGTTTTCTTTTTCGGATTAAGCACTGGAACAGAAGTTTTTTTTTGACTTAAACTATTGTAGGACAATCTTAAATCTCAACACAATCCTCCCGTCTGTTGCTGATAAACTTCTATTGTATCGCCTTCTTCCATTTCAAGAGTTGTCGGTGTATCTAATTCATTTATGGGTTGTCCATCGAATCTAAATCTTACTGCTGCAATCGCCAAACCCTGGTAACATAAATTAATTATGATAAATACAGAATATTAATATTTATTTCACAAAAAGATAGAGCTATCAAGTTATAGATTCCTTTAGAGACAATGTAAAATAATTTTAAACCATCTATTACCAAGTAATAATGTATCATACAATAAAACTTACAACACGATCACAGTAGGCATTCATTAATTTTCTGAGTGGTGTGTGTTTTTTAATTTTAAATTGAACTACTGCACTATCCTGTCCCAGTACTTTTAAATTTATGTGCTCTGATTCTGTTTTAGTTTCCTGTAAGAAAACGTTTTCTTATACTATCATTTATGAATGTAGCATTGACTTTGAGGTTACAAAGGGTTACCTTCTTCTCGTCAGACATGTTTACAGTTTATAACGAATATACTGTCGTATTAATAATTAATAATAAAATTGCTAAGAATTAAGTTCCAGACTATCCGCTGGACACTCTAGAATTCTTACAAACAAACGCTGAAACGAGTAACTCGCAATAATCCCGCTCCTATCTTTATAGCTATAATCACAACGTTTCCATCTTACAGAAGTAGCATAGTATCATAGGAAGTTATTGGTATACACGCGTTTTAAAAACCTAACGTGATGGTGATTAATAAACTTTTCTAGGGAGTAACGTTTCTTAGTTTGGTACACAGTTGTCATGTGATTGCAGTTTAGAGGAAAATAAATTGCTTTGCTCTGATTGGTTGAGGATTCAATACTAAGCAGAATTCACCGCAGATTGAATACGCAGTAAAATGATGGGGATACAAGCGCTTGTTTAGGGAGGAAGAAAAACGATGCAAGAGTAAAATTTTTCTCTACAGTTTTATACTAAATTCATCGGGGATAGAGCTACAGATCGGTCGTTACTTGACTCACCCTGTATATACAATATTTCATGGACTTAACAATATATGAACGAAGCGTTAGATCGAGAGGTGGATAAGGGAAGACTACTTCGGCTATTTTCGTGAGTTCCGAGTAATTCCGAGTCAAAACAAACTTAGAACTATAGATAGTTACATATTCAGTTATAGATTCAGATAATTCACCTGAAGCCAAGACGAATCATCTACATGATATCACAGAAAACTCGATATAAGCTATAAACTATAATTTCGAAAGAGTGACATACCGATGACCCAAATTTTTAAACGCAAATTCAATTAACCAAATATGAAATATTATATTTAGCTAATATCCAGATAAAAAATAATGAAATACTTTCTGGTGGAAAGTTGCGTACCCGTCACTATTTTGATTCTCTTTGCAGCCTTTGAAAGTTCACACAACATGATGATCGATGATGATGCCATATCAGCCAGTTTGAATGATCACAAGATAATCACAGTGAAGTATCTTACGTGAGTCATCTTTGCATCACTGAATTTCTTTTCTGTACATGCACTATACACACGCCGTATATAATAGCATATGTGGTCTAAGAGTGTATAGTTTCGACTGATTCTGAATCAAACCGAATACAGCCGAAGTGCATATAGTCCGCCCTTACAACGAATCTCATTCTCCTTGTGTATAAAGTCAGAATATACAGGGGAATCACAAATTAGCCCCCACGATTTTTCAGCCTCTTCCAATGGTCTGACAAAAAAATGTTTCCTGTCAAAATTAATTAGTACTTAACCGACAAGAAATTTCAATTGTTTAAATTTAAAAATAAATTGATCTTCGATAAAAAAGTAAGATCGTTATATTTTTAAATGAAACTGGGTAATTTTAACTTCATAGCATTGTAGAGGACATCGAAATGAATTCAACGACCAACTACATGATAACCTCCAGATGACATTGAAGAAAAAATTGTGATGTCCTAATCGAGATCGTCGACATCTTATTATGTAATCCATATAGCCACGGTACCGCACACACGTATATATTTGAATCCAGAATAAAATAGAAACTAGTACGATTATCATTTTCTTAACACTAGGTTTACAGAACCTGTCAAAATGTCAATTTTTTAATTTACGATTATTCAGATTGTAAAGATACAGTTATAAGTTATTTATTCAATATATGTGTTATTTGCCGCAAATATTACAATAACACTCGCTAAAAATCAGAACAAGCGGAAACATTTCGAATGAAACCAAGTCTTTTTAATCGAAGGGCAGTGAAGTAAGCGGGCCTGGAGGGAGACAATTTTACGATTTTCTTCAAGGTTATTTATTATTCTTCAAGGGCCTTAAGGTTATAAATTAACTGTTTAAATAAAAGGACTCTTATTGGAGGAATTGAACAGCGACAGTCAAGTAGGTACACAACATATACATTTAGCTTCCTCATGAAGGAGCATGGACCTAAGCAGACCTAAGGCAAGCTTGGGCCTGGGCAAGTCACGGCTCGTAAGTCAAATGTGGCTCTTCCCCTCTCTTACGTGTTCCATGGCTCTTCCCCCCTCTTACGTGTTCCGTGGCTCGTTCGTACTACATACATGCCCCTTAAGCATCCCCCACACACACACACGCAACACGATCGCTTGCGGCGTGAAGTAGCAGTAGTGTTCACGGACCCAAGTATTGGAGAAAAAGAGGGATTGGTGTGAGAGTTTGCGGCTCGCGGCTGAAATGGCTCGCCCAGGCCTAACCCAAAAATACAGTAATGAAACCTACTCTTGCACGATTTTCGTACTCCCTAAGCTGATGCACATATCCCCACCATTTTACTGAATATGCAATCCGCAGTGAGAATCCTGTCTCAGCAGTGAATCGTCAACCAGTCAAAATAAAGTAATTTCTACTTCTATTCTCGCTAACGGAGCCCACTGCGGCCGGAAAGTCTTGCAAAACTTGAAGTATTACTATATTCGGTTTGACTCGGAATCGTTCGAATCACATGAAGTGCATCTAGTCTCCCCTTTTCACAAATCTCATCCTCCTCTCATCCTAACGCTCCGTCCATGTATACTTAGGTTAATGGAAAGGAACGAAGAGCGGCAACATTATTCCGATCCTTTCTACATTGTAATCCTGATCTATATTGTTATTTTGAAAATATAGTACAAGTTCTTTTTCCATAATTAGTTCTTGGTTGACTTTTTACGTCTTTTATCTACATCTGCTTCTCATATCGTTTTTCCGTTATCTTTTCAATGCGGTAGTTTAATATTTTAATAACTTAGTATTTCAAGGCGTTTGACCTCTCTCTCTCTCTCTCTTCTGCCGCGAAATTACAAAAATTTTAACTACGTGTGACATCCGAAGGCAAATTTTGGAATTACTGAATCAGTAAGAACATAACAACATATATTTATTTATACAATTTAATATATAATCAGAGAGGAAATTCTGTTTGTAGTACATACAAACAATTTTATATACATCATTGTACATTTCCAATAATGTCCATAATTGTGAACTGCAGACAAAAATTACATTGTACGAAACGTCTCTATAGACTTTATATGTTATGGATAATTTGGAAAAATTTACCTGTTGATACGCTAGTGAATTTAAAACCGTTTTATGAAACAAATTCGGTGATAAGTTACATTTATTCAAACTATTTGTGTACATATTTCGTGAAACAATGATTCATAAAATCAATGAAGGAGGCAACAACTTGCTCGTCAAACCAGATGACGGTAAGCCGCAAGTATTTAAAAGACAGCAAGTTGAATGTGTCAATCTTTCAAAAAGGTTTATCAGCACGAGAAATGATTACTCAAAACAATTCGCACACATATATTCTACCAGACTTGCTGAATTGAGAGAGGTTTTAATTCCACAAGTTAAAACTAAATGGGGTATGTACTTTCATCATTATTCTATAAAGAACATTTTTATTAACAATTCAAATATATCCGGATATGAATTAAACGAATCTGTGTTTGAATAGGAACTATCCCTATAGTTAAATTAGCTGAGTTAGAAAATTTAGAAGGTAAAGAATGTGTAATAATTGGTACGCTTTATAAGCATCAACAATGGAAGCCATCAATCTTGCGTGAGCTCAGTGAAGACCATCAACTCAGTGTACCTTGTTCTAGATTAAATTACTGTTCTGAAAAAGATATACCTTACCTGGAAGATGAAATGTTACGTATTAAATTAGTAGGTGAAAAAGTTCATCTTAAAGATATTGTCACTGGTGTTGTTTGTGCTGTACGAGGTAATGAGAACAGTGATGGAACGTTTATGGTAATTATAGCTTAAATAAGTAATAATATCTCAACACCTTGCTGACCAGCTTTTTCAAGCCAAAACCCTTCTACATAGATATGGTATGAAAGTATGAGTTAACACTTGCAACCAGTCATTAACTTTCAAACACAGAAACTACTTTGTAACTGATCAGCAAGATATTAATCCTGTGGCTATGCAGCAGTGAGATATGACATCTACGATGTAGCAGTGACAATAATTGTTTTGATACATAATACATGTATAAGTAGACAAATTCAATAGTGTATATTATAAAGAACTTTTATTTTAGAAAAATTATTTTATTTCTTCCAAATGAGCATATTGCATTAGACATTGTAGACAAGAGAATAATACCTCTTATTTGACATTTCATGTGCTACATACAATGAAAGAATTAATGATCATATAGTTAATACATGAATGATAGTTAAATATTATGTTTAGGTCAAAGATTGGTGTCTTCCTGGTTGCGCTCCAAAAAAAAATATAATTGAATGCCCATCCAATGGGAAATTAGTGCTAGTATCTGGTTTAAATTTATCCCAAAGTCGTGATAGTTTAGCAATGAGTCTTTTTGTGGATTGGCTGTCTGGAATGGCTGGTAATATGAAAATACAAAAAGATGGAACCTCCATTGTCCGTCTCGTTATTGCAGGTAAATGGATAAAATTAATACTGTAAATATTATAACGATTATTAATAATACGATTTTATAATATCAGGTAACACTGTAAAAGATAGTAGTACAATACCTTCAGCAATGGATAAAGTAGATAAGGAAATTGATACAATCAAAACTATGGACACATTTTTATGTGATTTGGCAAAATGTTGTGCCATTACTTTAATGCCAGGAGAACATGATCCTACAAATGCCATGTTACCCCAAAAACCACTTCATCCATGTTTGTTACCTAAATCGTTTAGGTATTACATGTTTGCATATCATTTTTCAAAGACAGAGAACATTTTCTTCTGAAAAATACTTCTTTCTCTTTCATTATAGACTTGAAAGTTTTAAAAGCACTACAAATCCATGGATTGGTAGAGTTGATGGACAATTAATAATTGGTAACAGTGGTCAATCAATCAAAGATATCATCAAAGCAACTGGTGAAACAGATATTTCAGCAATTGAATGGCTTGAGAGATCTTTATTATGGAGACACATGTGTCCGACTGCTCCAGACACATTATTAGCTTGTCCATATTACAAAGAAGATCTGTTTATTATGAAAGAATGTCCAGACATATATTTTGTAGGAAATACAGAGAAATATGAAACAAAATTATGGAAGGGTATGTATAGTTTTAAAAGTAATTAACTTGGAATATTCATAAAATAATAATTTGATTAAATAATTTAATTTTCAGGCGATGAAAATAAAGTAGTAAGATTGATATCAATTCCTCGTTTCAGTACTGCTCATGCAGCTGTTATAGTAAATCTAGAAAATTTAGATACACAGTGTATTTCCTTCAGTAACGCATAGACAAGTGATAATCTTTGATAAATAACTGTGTGAAGTGTGAGAAACTTTTTTATACTTCCTATATTTTTTGTACTTTTTATACTTATAGAAAAGAACATTTAATTCCATACATGTATGTATATTGAAGTAATTCACAAATTGTCAATTTATTCGTATTATTCAACTTCGTTCGATCTCCTTTCCTTCCTTTCTTCCGAGTAATGAAAATGATAAAATCACGCGAAGTAAAAACAAATTCCATTGCTGCCTATTTATTTTTATTCAAAATGTGACGTACAAAATCTAAGCACACGACGTTTAAAT